CAAGGCAGTGCAGCCACGCTAACCTCGAATGCGGTCCCGGCCTTTCCGGTCACCCCTGAGGAACAGGACACCCTTTACTTCCAAGCGGCCACCCCGGAGCCGATGGAGGCAGGTAAGCAGGGTCAGGTCAGAGGCCAGCGGCCCCTGGGATGTGGGGACCAGGACTGAAAATCCCACCAGAAAGCTGGTCCTACCTAAGGGCACGGTGACAATGACGTGGTGCGCTGGGAAACGGCTTCCGTCCTCACATTCCACCAACACCGGGAAGGTCTCCCCGGGCAACGCCGCCTCCTGGAAGGCCCCCTTCCAGTGGACGGTCTTGACCGGCTTGTTGAAAACCATCACATCCTCGGGCAAGGAGGCCACCATGCAGTTTGTGAGTCCTTGGTAGCCCCTAGGAGACATGGAGGTGGCTTACAGGACCAGTCCCTGCGAGGGGAAGCCTGGGGGAAGTGAGCCCTGCAAGCTCCCACATCACAGCCACCGACCGGGCTCCCTGGGGAGCTCTGACCAGCTGGGGCTGGCGGGCCAGGCCGCTGCTCCACCCCTGCGGTCAGCCTGTACCACAGGAATGTCATCAACACCAGCCTTCCAGGCTAATGGGAGGATTAAGTGAGCTAATGAACAGCAAAGCCGAGGTAATCACCACTACTCCCGACTCCCATTCCTTCCCTACCCCTGCCCTGGGGTGTGGCACTTCCTGAGCCCTAAACGCCCAACCCCTGGGCAGGAGCCTGGGAGCCGAGCACATGTGGTCTCGCCTGTGCCTGGTCCGGGGCAGCCACCCTGCCCCGAGGAAGTGGTCATTCCGGCCCCTCTCCAGTGGAAGCCCCACATCATGCTTGGCTCATGGGAGGCCTCAGGAAATACAGAAGGAAGTTAGCATTGCAAGACTTCTTTCTTTCTTTCAACTGCTCTTTTGAAAATAACGTATTTTTTTTTCTTAAAGGAACAAAACCAATTTTCCCAGAATGGGGAGGGCAGACGGCCTGTCCCACTCACACCTCCTCTGCCTCCCAGAGCCCCTGGGCTGGGCAAGCCAGACGGAAGCCTACCCCGGGAAGGTGCAGTCCAGCCCAGGCAGCATGCTGTACTCCCCGAAGGGCGCCAGGGCCACCAGGTCCATGCTGTGGGTGCCGCTGACGCAGCATTCCAAGTTGAAGAAGGCGTTCAGCACGGCCAGCTTGAGCTTCTTGGCGTCCTCGTCCCCTGTCCAGCTGGCCGCCTGATGGCGGATCTCCCTCTTGAGGAAATCCCCCACGCTGGGCACCGGGGGCTCGGTGGAGTGCAGGAACTCCCGTGTCCGGTCTATCAGTCTGTAGAACAGACTTGCCATCTCTGCCACCAGCTGGAGGCTCACACTGGCCCCTGAGCTGGCGTAGCTCGCAGAGGGCAGGCCCGGGTGACCCCCGGCCTCCACCTGCTGGTTCTCCTCCGACAACTCCTTCTCCCCCAGCAGCCCGTACTTGGCGGCCAGCTGGAATACGGGGTTGCCCTGGGAGGGTCCATGGATCCAGTGTGCGCCCACCTCCACCACGCCACCTGGGAGGGCACAGAGATGCCGCCTGGAGGTCTGCTCCCCAGAAAGGTCAGCCTCTGCCCTTCTCCTGGACCCCACCGGGCCTCCCCCCCAAGTGTGCGAAGAAGAAAGGCTGGAGGGCCTGACTGTCCCCAAGGGCCGGCCCGTCGGACCAGGTTTAAGGTGACACCTGGAAAGGGGAGTGCTGGCCTGCACCAGCCCTGGAAGGGCACTTGTAGGGACGGCCTGGAGGGGATGAGGGTGCCAGGGAAGGGCCCGGGGCTGAGGGGGGCACGGGTGGGGGCGCAACGTGGCAGCTGCCGCGGGGTACCTTCCCGGGCAGGCGCCTCCTAAGTCTGGGCGGCTGAGTTTCGGGGAGGTGAACCTTGGCGGACGAACTCGCTCGGGGAGCCAGGCAAGGCTTCGGGGTCGGCTACCCCTGGGTGCAGGGCAGGCCGAGCGCGGGCAGAGCCGGTTGGGTTCCGGCAGGGGTGGGGAGGGGCGGTTACCGAAGCTGCGCTCCGAGCGGATGCGGCCCCCGGCGCGGGCCGTGGCCTCCAGGACCCGCGGGTGCGGGATGTCCGGGTGGCCGCAGAGCCTCTGCGCCGCCGCCAGCCCCGCGATGCCGCCGCCCACCACCAGCACCCGCGGGCCGCCCCTCGACTCCATCGCCACCCGGACAGTCCCCGCGCGTCCCCGCCGCTTGGAGGCCCGGCGCTCCGGGAGGAGGCCGGAGATGGAGCGGGAGGCGGAGCAAGGGACGCCGACCAGGCGCCCGGCGGGCAGGGGCCGGGCCGGAGGCGCGGATGCGGGGGGGCGGGACAGGGACTCGAGCGGTCCCTTCCGGCCTGCGCGCGCCCTCGGGGCTGGCTCACCGCCCGGACCGTGCTGGGCGGCCGTGGCAGCGCGCATGTCCCACGCTGTCTGCGCGCAGAACCCCGGCGGTGCAGGGCCCACGGCTGCCGGGCGGCGTGGACGGGGGTCCAGCGGAGCGGGTCGGGCTGGCCGGCCGGGCGGGCGGCGTCTCTCCCAAAGAAGACGCGGGAGTGGCGACGAGAAGGCTCCTCGCTCCGGCCTCAACTTCCTGGTTCAGACGCGCGGACAAGTGCTTCGCGCGGGGACCCCTCCGCGCGCCGAGGGTCGCGGTGCGGTGGGTCTGGGGGCGGCATGGTGTCAGGGGCGGGGCCGGGGAGAGTAACGGTTCAAGGGGGCGCTGTGAGCCTCCAGGCTACGCCGCTGTGCCCTCCGAGCGTGTCTGCGCACGCACATGTCTGCGCGCCCACAGGACGTTACACATTAAAGTACAAAGTTGAAGGAAAACAAGGGCAAGTGGAAGAACGTCCGGAGGCCGGGTGCGTACTCATGCACGCTGCCTCGCTGGAGAATTCCTGGAACTCTGGCAGGTGTTTTCTACTGCTCCGCAGTGCTGGGGACTGAGCCTCCCGCCTCTGTGGGAAGGGACGGCGGGGGCGCAGTGGCCGGGGCGCAGTATCGGGCGGCGGGGGCGCAGTATTCCGCAGCGAACCTGCGCTCTGTCCCTCCGCGGGGAGGGCCGCCCGCCAGGCCAGTGAGAACCCAGGGGCGCGTCCCAAGGCAGCAGCGCCACTCCCACCTGCAGGTGCAGGGGCACACGTATCAAAGAAACACCTCTGGTCCTCCCCCAAGAACAGACTCAGCATGACATCCCAGACTGACAAGGGGCCAGCCCCATCGAGTCAGAGACAAGTGACAGCAAGTGTGGGGTGCGGCCGCCTGGCCCTTGGTCACCTGTTTTGCATGAGTGGGCCACGATCCCTTAGGGGAAACATGACCCCCTCCACCCCGCATCTGCTGCCTGAAGCAAAGCCCCTGGCTGGGCGAGCTCTCCCTTCAGAGGTCACCAGCAAGGCAGGCTGGGTTCCCCGAGATCCAGCTAAGCTGGTGCCCATGAGTGTCACTTGCTGATGCAGCCCTGGCATGGCTGGGGATGTCCACGGATGGCAGCTTAAACACTCTTTGGGGTCCCACATTCCACAGCTGTGGCTGCTGGCCTCAGTTGGGTATGCCTAAGGGTGGGGCCCACTCCCTAACGTGACAGTCTGAAGTCCAGCCGCTGGTCCCACCCACTGCCCAAGACTCGGCAGCACATCACCCTGTGCACGACACCATGGGCCTGGCTGTGAGGGACCCCAAGGTGACACCCTGACCTGCCCTAAGACAGAAAACACAGGGGACTGCAGCCAGTCCTGAACTATTCTGTGCCTGAGGCCACTAGCTGGAACACAGGGAGGCAACCTTGTTTCCATGGACTGAAACAAAATCACGTGTTTCTCCTGACTCCTGGGGAACACCTATGGTGGTCACAGCTGCAGCGACCTGGTGATACTGCCCATGTGGCTTAACCAAATCAGGTTTGTTCACTTTTTAAAAATAGCTTTATTGATATAGAATTCACACGCCATACACTTCACCCATATACAGTGCACGCAGATTCAGTGGTTTCCAGTGTAGTTTTATGAGTTTGTGCAATCAAGTTTAGAACATTTCCATCATCCCAAAAAGCAACCCTGTGAACTAAAATAAAATCTTAAGGACCTCCCCCCACACCAGCTGACTGAATGGACCCCTCTTGGCCAAGAGAATACCCTAAAACTGAGTTACTGACTCTGAGAAGGGAGGTCAGACAGGCCTCATCATGCCCCCCTCCCTTCTTGGAGACATCCTTTATAACCCATTGACAGGCCCTAAGGCCATCTGAGTCAAACCTGCCAGTCCTCAATTTACACACAAATGTGTATAGCAGGTATCTTATCTCTGACAAACAACTTATCTTAAAACATTCCAGCCTCAAAGCTTCATCTCTTTAACCAATTACAAGTCAAAGAGTCCTTAAACCCACCTAAAACCTGTAAGCCCCCACTTTGAGATGTCCTGCCTTTTTGGGCCAAACCAATATACACCTTCCATGTATTGATGCATGACTTTATGTGTAATTCCTGTCTCCCTGAAATGTATAAAAAACCAAACTGTAACCCTACTGACACCACTTGCTCAAGGCTTCTTGGGCGTGGCCACAGTCCTCAAATCTGGCTCAAAATAAATGACTTCAAATTATTATACAGAGTTTGGGTTCTTTTCTGTTGACAGCCCAACCCATTAGCAGTCACCCTCATCCCCCCTTCCCCTGGCAACCACTGGTCTACTTCCTATCTCCATGGAGTTGCCTGTTCTGGACATTCCATGTAAGTGGAGCCACAGAGCATGTGGCCTCCCTGTCTGGCTTCTCTGACCATGCTGCAGCATGTCTCAGCGCCTCCCTGCTGTTCAGGCCTGAATCGTGCCCCACATTCACTGCAGCGCATCCCACTGTGTCTACTGTATGGATGTACATTTTCTTCCTCCACTCCTGAGTTGATGTACCTTGAGGTTTTTTCCAGTTTGGGGCTATTATGCATAGTGCTGCTATGAACATTCACATACAAGTTTTTGTGAGGACATTACGTTTTCATTTCTCTTGGGTATACACCTAGGCCTAAAGTTGCTGTTTAACCTTTGGAGGAACTGCCAGACTGGTTTCCAAAGCAGCTGCACTGTCTTACATTCCTGCCAGCAGTGTGCAAGGGTTCCAAGTTCACCAAGTTGTAACACAGGAAATGGCCTGGAAAAGAAAAAAACCAAGAAAAATATTTTCTGTCTCTTTAAAACATCCTCCACTCCTTTTTGAGAACTAAAATCTGCACCCCTGCCTCAGGCCACTGGCTGGGAGGGGCACGGGAATGTCCTTTGCTCTTTGTGCCACAGGAGGTGGGACAGATCAGAACTGTCAAATGTAGAACAGCAGTTGCCTGAAGCTGAATGGCCTCCCTTTAAAACTTGATTTCTGCTTTTGGACAGGAACTTTGGATTTGAGATAGGAAGCCTCCAGGACAAGTATGGAGCTTTGTGTAACAACATCCTCCCAACTCTCACTATCTTTGTCTTTGTATTACAGCCATCCCAAAGGTATGAACCAGCACTTCAGTGCGGCTTTCCCCAAAGACTAAAGATATTCAGCACCTTTTCCTGTGCTTATCAGACATTTGTGTACCTGTGCTGGAGAACTGTTCAACGCTTTGCCCACTTTTTAACTGGGTTACCTTTTATTACTGAGCTCTAAGAGTTCTGCAAACAAGACCTTCATCAGCTGTATGACCCGCAAAGCTGTTCTCTCATTCTGTGGGTGTCTTCTCACTATCTTGACGGTGCTCTTTGAAACACAAAAGCTTCTAATTTTGGTGAAATCCAATTTATATATATTTTGCAGTTTGTGCTTTTGTCCCTAAAGTCCTTTACTGAGGACAGCAGTTGACGGACGTCAACACCAGCCCCGGGCTGTTTAAAACACTTGTGTTTGAGCCATTTCATTTGAGGCCTATTTTTTCCTGTGGTCCAACCCTGTGGTCCCCAAAGTTTTTTGGCACCAGGGACCCCTTTCATGGAAGTCACTTTTTTGTTTGGGGGGGCGATGGAGCTCAGGCGGTGACACAGGCAATGGGGAGCGGCTGTAAATGCAGACCAAGCTTTGCTGCCACCTGCTGCTGTGTCCTCCGCCCCAAATAAGTTTCATGAAAGACAATTTTCCACCACGGGGGAGGGAGAGGTAGTGGAGGGAGGGGGCGGCGGGGCTCCGAGGCCTGGTCCCTGACAGGCCGCAGATGGACCCTCGCCAGGGCTGGGACCGCAGGTTTAACCTGCACTAACACGTAGGTGCTTTCAGTTAGGGTTTGCAGGTGACCTGTTTGTATTTACGTGAAAATGCCTTTACCCGTAGTCTAGGAAAAAAGCTTTCCTAGTGTTTCATTCTGGCTTTTTTTTAAATTTTTACTTATTTTTATTTTATTTTAGTGTATTATAGGGATACAAGCGTTAGCGTTACTTACATTGCCCATGTCCCCTCCCCCCTATCATTCCGGTTTGAATTGAATTATTTTCTTGAAAATACAAGCTCTGCTTTTTCATTTCATCTCCACCCTGGCGTCGGCAGCCTCGGGGCAGGATGCAAATGGAGGCCTCATAGTATGTGTCCATAAACTTAAAAGCTACGAACGAAAATAACACATGAATCAAAATTTCGCTAATTTTTAACGTTTCAGTCATAAGGTATTTTTATAAAAAGGAAACGGTCGCTCACCTGTCGCTCAGTAGCTGCGCAGGTGCCGCACGGGGCCATCCGTGCGCGCCTGCCCGGCCAACCTCGGGGTGGCGGGACGGCGACTTTGGGGGGCCGCGGTCCCCCCAGACGAGCCCACGCCGCGCGCCGGGGGGCGGCCCCGCACTGGGTCTCTCCCCGCGCATGCGCGTTTCTGCCCTCCCCGCCCCCCACCCGGCAAACGCGCCTGCGCACGCGGGGGTCGGGCTCCGGGAGAGTGGGCGGTGGGCGGGGTCGAGTCGGGAGCGCCCCGCCCTCGGCCCCGCCCTGCCCGCCTCCGCGCTGGTCTCGCGAGGCCCGCCTGCTCTCGCGATGCCGGCCCGGGGGCGGGGCGCGCCCTGAGTGGCGCGGCCGGGGGCGGCTCCGCGGGGCGGGGCGGGGCGAGTTGTCCGAGGGCGCCATGGCCGCGCTGCGCGCGCTGCTGACCCGCGTCCCCCTGCGGGCCCCGGCCCGCCCCGCGCTGCGGCGCTTCGCCTCCGGTGAGTGCGGGGCCCGGCACCCCCGGTCCCGGCACCCGGGCCCTGCCCCTGCCCCTGCTCCTGCGGGCGCCCCGGGGCGCAGGGAGGGCCCCGCCGGCTCGCGGGGCTTCTCGGCTGGGGCGCAGACGCCGCGCGCTCTCCGGCCTGCTGGCGGGCCGCGCAGCCCCCGTGCCCACCGCTCAGTCCCCGCGCGGGGCCCACCAGCTGTGGGGGCAGCGCTGTCCGGGTCGCGCAGGACGAGGGCGGCAGCGCAGGCGCGTTCCGCCCCCGGCGCCTCGTGTCCGGGCCCTGCGGGGCCAGTGCCCGCCCCGCCCCGCCGCCCGCTGTCCCGGGAACCCGGGCCCCGCCCATCCCCCCGCCAGCCGGGCGAGTGTCCCCTGCAGTCCGGCCACCTGCAGCCTTCACCGGCTCCAGCGGCGGGGGAGTGTTTGGCCGTGCCTTGGGGCTTCCATCCTCTTCCGCCTTCACCCCACACATCCAGTGGACTCCCCAGTCGTGCTGGTCTCACCCCCACGTTCCCCTCGGCCGTCATTCTGCACCCGGCCTGTAGTCGGTCGTTCCTGGGTCTGCTACCCGGCAGGCACTTGGTGCAAATCACAGCACGGCCATGATCCCTGTAAAGAAACTACCCCGCAGGACGCAGACGTTCTCCTTTGTCCCTTCAGGTGAACTTTCTTCCTCTCTGCGTCCACTGCCTGCTCCCAGCCCCAGGCTGAGCTAGCCACCCCTGCCGGTCGTGGCAAGCACCCAAGAACGAAGCTGTCCTTGACCTCTGTCTGCCTCCCTCCTGGCTGTCCACCCAGCAAGGCTGGAGCTCCATCCTGGCCGCAGCCTAGGTCCCCGCACTGCGCCGTTGTTCCTTGAAAGAGGGCATTTCTCTGTCCCTTGCTTCAGTGGCGTCCTGGGCGTCTTTAGTGCCTTGTCCTGGGAGGAGCTGACCGCAGCTCATTAGGAAGAGGAGAGCCGGGCAGCGGCAGGCTGCGTTCGGTGCTGGGGATTAGTCTTAACTTCAGGAAACACACAAGTGTGAAAGCGGAGGTGCCCAGGCCTGTGAGTGGCCGGGGCCGTCACTCTGCATCCACTGACAGGGCACATCCCTCCCCCACCTCCCAGGTGGATACCTTTGTGAGTGGACAGCCTTTCTGCCTTCTCTCCCTAGGGGCTAAGTTTGAGTACATCATCGCAGAGAAAAGGGGGAAGAACGACACCGTGGGCTTGATCCAGCTCAACCGCCCAAAAGCACTCAACGCGCTTTGCAACGGACTGATTGATGAGCTCAACCGGGCACTGGCAGCCTTCGACGAGGACCCGGCTGTGGGAGCCATTGTCCTCACTGGCGGAGACAAGGCGTTTGCAGGTGTGGTGGGCAGCAGCGGCAGCCCCCTGGTTTTGGGGGGATGTGGGGGGACAGTGTGGCCTGTGGGAGGACAGACCTGCACTCTGTGACAGCAGATGACTGCTGTCTGGTTTACTTACATGGAAAGGGGGGTGCACGTGGGAACTGCTCAGGTGTGCAGCTCTGTGTCATTCAAGGTGAGTGTGGGCTCTGCCTGCCAGAGAGGCTTATTCAAAGGAACTCAGGTCCTTGACAGTCTGGCTCTGTGTGTGTTAAGTGTGTAAGTGATGGATCAGTCTGGTATCTCTGGGCCCACCTTGCACCTGTCACCTGTCCCGTGGCCTTCTGTGTCACCTCGTTGGGACACACACATCCCCGGTGCCTGCACGTGGAGCACTCGATGGCTCCCGCTGGGTCAGGGGATACAGGACTGGTGCTCTGCTGACTGGAACCTCATTTCCACTGCCAGCTGGAGCCGACATCAAGGAAATGATGAACCAGACGTTCCAGGACTGTTACTCTGGCAAGTTCCTGAGCCACTGGGACGAGCTCACCCGGGTCAAGAAGCCCGTCATCGCTGCTGTTAACGGCTACGCGGTGAGAGCGGATGCCGAGGTCTCCTCTCGGTGCTTGAGGGAGTTGTGCTGGTGCACGTGGCGTGTGGCAGAGGGTTTCACGGCGAGGAAACGTTTCAGCATCTGGTTTTTTGTGGGTGTTCAGCTGCTGGCTCTGCCCAGCACGCAGATGTTGGCTTTGGCTCTCGCATAGGGTTTTAACGCTGTTCTGACCCAGGCTGCATCCACGACCAGTTGTTGCCTTTTCTGCCGTTGAGAGCCGGTCACGTGGGCCGCTTGGAAGTGCCAGGGCTGGTTTTGCCCGTAGGGAGGCGATGCACCGCTGTCACATTGTGGTTTGTGGTGACGCTCCCTCTTGTGTAAGCCAGGGGTCAGCCGGTAAAGCTTCACTGGCAGGCTGCTCCTGTCTGGACGTGTTCTCTGTGGCCGTGTGAGCCAGGGCCACAGAGTGGGGCAGTCACAGCAGACTGTGGGACCCTCAAGGCCGAAAACACTCACTTTCTGGCCCTTTGCAGAGTAAGTCGGCCAGCCCCTGGTGAACAGTGTCATCCCTCATAGATACATCATGACAGTTAACTAACTTTGTGCCACTGTAGTAATATTTGCCTTATGCTGGGCTGTCTCGTTTCAATGGAAAATTTAAACAGTGATTTTCTTTCTTTCTTTCTTTTTTTTTTTTTGGAGACAGAGTCTCGCTTTGTTGCCCAGGCTAGAGTGAGTGCCGTGGCATCAGCCTAGCTCACAGCAACCTCAAACTCCTGGGCTCAAGCAATCCTCCTGCCTCAGCCTCCCGAGTAGCTGGGACTACAGGCATATACCACCACGCCCGGCTAATTATTTCTATATGTTTTTGGTTGGCCAATTAATTTCTTTCTATTTATAGTAGAGACAGAGTCTCGCTCTTGCTCAGGCTGGTTTTGAACTCCTGACTTAGAGCGACCCTCCCACCTCGGCCTCCCAGAGTGCTAGGATGACAGGCGTGAGCCACCGCGCCCGGCCTAAACAGTGGTTTTCTGACTGGGTTCCCTCGTAAGACGGCCCTCCTGACACGGATGTGTTTTGCAGCTTGGCGGGGGCTGTGAGCTGGCCATGATGTGTGACATCATCTACGCTGGCGAGAAAGCCCAGTTTGGACAGCCAGAAATCCTGATAGGGACCATCCCAGGTAAGAGTGACGCTGTCTCTGCTGTAGACCCTTGAGGTGGTTCCTCAGAATCTGCTCACGTCTGGTCCCTGTCTCTCCACACGAGGCCATACGTGACCGAGCTCAGAGCGTGGCCCCCGGGCCCCAGGCCGTGTCCTGTTCCTGCAGTCAGTGTCGGGAGGGGCTGCTCACGTGGCTTCTAACCACGTGGCTGCTGCCCCTGATGGGTGTCCCTGGCGGAGCCTCAGGTCAGGAGCCTGGCAGAGAGCAGGAGACCCTGGCTGGCACCGAGAGCACTGCTTGGTGTGCCTGACGCTCCGTCCATGCCCATCTCACTGGCCACGGAGGTCCCGTGGCCTCACCTGGTCCAGCGGAGCAGGGAGCCAGACCCCGCCACCCAGGGTCCAGCTGGCAGACCCGGGAGGAGGGCTGGGTGCTGCAGGGCGCTCAGGGCAGCACAGGCCTGAGGGAGCGCAGAGCCCCGGGATCAGGGAGACCCGGAAGCTGCTGGAATGTTTACAGAGAGTCTGGGGAGGGGCCAACCAACAGAGCCGCACACCTCCGTCCTGAGGTCGGGGTAGGGGAGGCACCAGGTGTGGCACCTGGGCCTGGAAAGGGGTTGCCCTGAGGCTTCTGGGCCCCTGGCCTGCCAGCCCCTCAGAGCTCGCCCCAGCGCATCCGTGGCGTCTTCCTGACTCACCGCGGCGCCCGCCGTGCCCGGCCCCTCTGCCCTGCAGGTGCGGGCGGCACCCAGAGACTCACGCGAGCTGTCGGGAAGTCACTGGCGATGGAGATGGTCCTCACCGGTGACCGGATCTCGGCCCAGGATGCCAAGCAAGCAGGTACAGGCAGGGCTGCCGCAGGAGCAGGTGGAGCCCCGGGCTCTGTCCAGGTGTCCCCATGGGTAGTCACACAAGGTTTTGAGTCCAGAGAACTGAGTGGCTTGGTGTGGCTGCGTTTTGTTTCTATGTTTTGAAACATCATACATACAAAAGAGTAACTAAACCTACGCAAAACATCATACGTACAAAAGAGTAACTGAACCTACGCACAGGTGACAAAACGATAACATGACGGCCCTGTTTCCCAGAGCCCGGAGTACGTGGGAGCATCTCCAGGCTCCTTGCAGACCGGGCCTCCCCCTGCCCTGTAGCTGAGACCTCGGTCTTGTGTCTGGCCACCTCTGCCATCCGGTGCTGAGAAGAGCATGGTCCACGAGTCTGAGCACAGTGACCACACTTCTGAGGCCACCCGGCCCCCTCGGGGAGTGTGGGCACCGTCCCCTGAGAGACCTGGCACTCCGGGGCACAGTGCTCCCAGATGGTCACCAGGACCCAAAAAGAAATAACTGGTACTATTTCTGCACACCATTCACCACCTTGTTTGTGTTTTAGGTCTCGTGAGCAAGATTTTTCCCGTCGAGACACTGGTTGAAGAAGCCATCCAGTGTGCAGAAAAAATTGCCAGCAACTCTAAAATCATAGTCGCGATGGCCAAAGAGTCAGTGAATGCAGGTAGGAGCTTTTGCCGGGAAGAAAAAGGGGGGGCTCTCCAGGGCTGCAGAGGGAGAGTCCGCAGGGCAGGCTGATACCTGCACCCTGAGCAGAGGCAGCAGGATTCTCAGTGCTTCAATACCAGCCATTCGTAGGGTTCTGGTTTCTGGTCACTGACTCGTATGTTCTGAAGTGTCCTGAGCTCCCCTTTGTACCAAGGCCAAGAACTGGGCCAGGCCTGGGAGGTGACAGGCACAACGCTAGGCAGGGGCATGGCCAAGGGGGAGCCACGGCCGTCAAGCTGAACCATGGTCTTGCTCATGGGACATCGGGGTACCCCCAGCCTGGGGCTGCAGGTGCAGCCCGCACTCAGCCTGCACGGACACCAGAGCATCCCCGCCAGGGCAGACGCCACACTGTGTGTTCCCGGTCTGGGTTCCTTCAGTTCTCTCTCTGCCAGGGGAGAGGCTCTGACGGTCCCCCTGCTCAGAACTGCCTGAGTGTTAACACAGCAGTTCATCAGCATTTGCAATGAGATTGTCCGTTGCTCAGTGTTCCCTGTTGAAGAGACAGCCCAGCACAGGTGTGCGTGACCTCGGGCAGGTGACTCGGCCTCTCCCAGCCCGTTTGTCTCGAGCATGGCCGTCCCCCAGAGCCACGCTGTTGGCGTCACGCAGAGGCGCTGATTGCTGGGAGGCAGCAGCACAGTCGTGGCTGAAAGCATCACCTGCTGTCGCCCGGTTCCCCCAGGAGGCCCTGGCTGCAGGTGTCTGGACAGCAGCACGCCTACTTTTCTCTAACCTCAGGGTCGCGCTGCTCCACCCTGCGGAAGAGCCGGCCAGAGTGAGCCCAGCGCACTCGTTCCTCGGTCAGGCTGCCGTGTCCTCCCTAATTACTTTCCTGTACTCTCGTCGTTGGACAGTTTGCTGTTTCCCTTCCGTCCACTTGCTCATGCCTATCCCGGGTGTGGTGCCCAGAGCCCCTGAGCAGGGAGGTGCCTGGCGGGTGCCCAGGGCCGGGCTCCCCGCCACTCTGGGGCAGGGCACAGCCGTGTGTATGGTCGGTGGGGAGGAGTCCTGCACTCCCACACCTGACGTCTGGGTTCTTAACTCCGGGCCTTGCTCTTCCAGCCTTTGAAATGACGTTGGCAGAAGGGAACAAGCTGGAGAAGAAGCTCTTCTACTCGACCTTCGCCACGGTGAGTGAACGGCACCCGCAGGAGAGCCGGGCGTGCTCTGGCGCGCAAGCTGCTGGCGTTTTTCTGTTGATTGTGTCATTAAATAGCATTTCCCCTTGGTCAGGACTGCTAGCTTCCCTTTGGCTGGCTCAGATGTGTCTGCCAGTGGGTCTTGAGTTAGCCGAAAAGTACAGCGTATGGAAGTTCAAAAGCGTGGAAAACTTTGCGGGGTTATTTCCTTCTATAAAACATCCGTGAGTTCCACCTTCAGCAGCTCCTTTGTTTAAAATGTAGTTTAAGCTGGGTGCAGTGGTGCACGCCTGTAATCTCAGCTACTGGGGAAACTGAGGCAGGAGGATCGCTGGAGCCCAAGATTAGAGTCCAGCCCAGGTAACATAGCGAGACCTCCATCTCTTAAAAAACAAAAGAATTACTTTTAAGTGTAATTCATTTTACCTGTAATTTATCTAGATCATTGCAATTATTTGGAATATGGTTCAAATGTCTTGGAATACTATAATCTGAAGCTTTAGAGCAATATTTTCTAAGATTTCTGTCAGTCACTTACAGGAAATAATTTTTCTAATTGCCGTTATAGTTAATCCCTTTCATCACAAAGTCATATCGAGGTGTTTTATAAAAGAAAGACTAAGGATGGGCCGTCTCTTCAGGAGGCAGTGCAGAGGCCTGTGTGTGCTCAGCACAGGAGGGTGAGGGTGTAGTTGAGTCCTGATGCCCCGTGACCCTGAGGGTGGGCCTGGAGCAGGGCACGGCTCGGTGAGTGGCCCAGGGTGTGCGTCTGAGGTTCTTTAGATGAGTTGCTTGGACACGCATGGCGGTTCCTGGGTGAACCGGTGCCTAGGGGCAGTGACAGGAAAGTCCCATCCCTGCCCAGGTGAGTCGGGAGCCTGGAGAGAGGTGCTGGCAGGTGTCGGGGCCCAGTGGGGAGCCCGAGTGTCCACCATGGCCTCTCCCTTCCCCAGAATGACCGGAAAGAGGGCATGGCTGCGTTTGTGGAGAAGAGAAAGGCCAACTTCAGAGACCAGTGAGAGCGGCTGCGATGGCCTCACACCTCTGCCTGGAGGAGAGCCAGCTGTCACTTTGGGAAGAAAGTTAAGTGTCCTCTCAGGGCAGCGTCAGTTGTCACCTCTCTGCAGCTGCGTGGAGCACGGCCAGCCGGCCTCACCCAGCCGGGGGAGGGTCCGGTCTGGAGTGCCAGCTCTCCGACCAGAGCCTGTTCTAAATGGAGGGCCTTGCTGAGGAGCCTTCAGCACGAGCAGTGAGCACCTGTGTTCAGGTGGAGGCGGGCCTGGCCTGTGCAGCCGTGGCCGGGGCTGCTCGGGAAACACGCCGTCTGCCGGCTCTGCACAGATGCCCTGCTGATTAAAGTGACGCTTCCGATCACACGGTGCCTTCAGTCTTCTCTAGAGGCTGAATATTCTGTCACCTTAGTTGTCTCTTAAACTTCACTTTTTCAATGTAAATGAAAACATTCAAACTAAACAGAAGTTTGTACTGTAAGCTGCCCACGCCACAGTCCCCGGGAACCACTGCGAACTGCTGGGCTAGTGCCTTCCTAGAGACCTCCTTGTGCCCACACACGCATTTCTGCTCATGCACACACATACATGCACTCTTGTACACACATGCACTCATGTACATGTGTACTCATGCACACAGATTTCTGTACACGTGTGCTCGTGTGCACTCGTATATGTGTGCTCATGCACACTTGCACTCACACACATGCTTACATACACAAACGCTCATGTACACACGTACCGTGTACACAATGCATTTGTGTATATATACTTGCATTTAATGCACACACGTGCTTATACACGTGCTCATGTGCAAAACACACATGCACTCATGCACACGTGCACATGCATGTGGTTCTTCTGTTTTCTTCTTATAGAAATGGCATCCCATGCCCACTTTTTTTTTAATTAATTCTTTTTTCTTTTAACTATTATTTTTTTCCTTCTTCTCACAAGAGGAATTAAAGGCTGTCCCATGCCCACTTCTGCTGAGTCCTTTCCACACAGGGGCGCACCGTGGTTTCTTGCTCCTGTCACAGGAGCCCCTTACTTCCTGTTTACCTTTTCTCTGTTTGCTAACACACACCTGACATGAACCTGCCGTGTTGACCGTTGTAAGTGCTCGGGTCGGGGCATCCAGCACAGTCTTGTGCAGCCGTCAGCGCCGTCCACTGTGCCTGTCTGTCTGCCCAGGTGGAAGCTCTCCCCACCCCACACTGACCCCCAGCCCCTAGCAACCTGTCTGTGGGTTTGACTACTCCGGGCCTTGTATGAGTGGGATCATGTGCTGTTTGTCTCTGTGTGTCAGGCTCATTTCACTGAGCACATTGCTGTGGCCTGAGTGTGTCCCTCGCACCCCAAATTCCTATACTGACACCCTAACCTGGGCCACAGTATAGGGGGTGGAGCCTTTGGGAGGAGGTTGGGTGCCCTCGTAAAAGGCCCAAGAGAGCTCTTTTGCCCCTCCCACCATGGGGACGCAGGAGAAGGTGCTAAACTAGGGAGTCCTGCGAACTAGGAGGTGGGCCCTCACCTGGCGCTGACCTGCCGGCCTCAGGACTGTGAGAACCAGGTGTTATTGTTCGAAAGCCACAGCGTGTGGTGCTGTCTTACGGCAGCCTGAGCTAAGACACAGCATCCTCAAGGTTCAGTCACGGTGTGTCACGTCAGCCTCTTGTTCCCTTTCATTGCTGAGCATGTTCCTACCGGCCTGACGTTTCATGCCAGGAGCATGCCGCAGTCCACTCACTCCCGTGGTGCTGGGCGTTTAGATTGCGTCCCGTTTCTCGTCATCAGAGCACCCATGGTGGCGCTGCGGTGACCACTCTACTGATGTCCCACTCCCGCGAAGCACCCTGGGCCTCCCGATGCGAGTCGCCAGCAGGAGGCCAGGCGGGGCCTCCTCTCCGGGCCTCTCTGCTCTCCCAGTCTGGGCGGGACTGCAGTTGGGGTGCTCGCTCAAGATGCGCTCCCAGAACGGGCAGGCCTGAGGGAGGCCCTGGCGTCCTCTGTCCAGTGGGCCCCAAGACAGAGGTGCCAGTGACGGAAGTGCCCGGTGCATCGGCCACAGGAGGTTTGCAGGCCTAGAACACGGAGCGACACCCTGGGAGACGCCACGTTCCCACCAAGGTTCCTCTGGTGGCTTTGGGCTCCAGGAGGGCATTCCCTGTCTCCTGGTTGCTGTGCAGTGGCGGGCGGGCACCCGGTGGCCTTGGAGACTGGGTGGCCGAGTGCCCCCCACCCGTCACAGGAACCTCTTCCCCCATGGCACACTCCTGCCATTCGTTCTCACCTCACTGCCCAGCCCTCGGTCTCAGACTCAGTTCTCCAGCAGGTGTCAGTGGATGGAGACCCACGTCCCACAGCCTGGGGCCATGAGTAGAGGGGACAGTCGCTGCCCAGGGTCAGGGCTGCCAAGCCTCAGAGCAGCCTCAGGGTAGCGGGCGGGCCAGGAACCCCAGGACCACCACCGGCCATCAGCACCAGGTGGCTCGGCTGGTGCAGAAGTGGCAGGTGCTGGGCTCTGGGGAAGGGCCACCCCCGCCCCCAGGAAGCGGGTGGCAGCTGGAGCCGGCCAGCGGTCAGGACACTGCGTCCTGTGCAGGGGCAAGGAGGAGGCGGACGGTGACCCCAGGTGTCCTGGCCTCCGCGCACGGCCTGGGGGCTGGGCCTGTCGTCCCTCCTTGGCCCCCTCCGGGGCTGCCCTGTGACCCCACCCCATGCCAGGGTCCCCCACAGGCCATGTCGAGAGCATTGGCTGAAAGCCTAAGTCCAGCTGCCCAGCACTCCAGCCTACCCCCATGCCTCCCTGACCCCACCCCTCCCCAGGCTACCCCCCTGTCCCCTCCCAGGCCAACATCTGCCCGGGGGTCAGAGGTGACCCGTGGTCAGGGTGGGCTGTTTCCCAGGCCCTCTCAGGACTGGTCTGACGCTTGACCCCAGAACACTCCCCAGACCGCCTGCACCAGGGCTGACCCGGGGTTTTCCCTGGCTCCTTTTTTTCCGGGGGGATCCTGGTCAGGGCTCAATGTGTGGGCGCTGCGGGGAGGCTGCCCCCCGCCCAGTTAAGCCGACAGCTTCTCCTGCCACCCTCACCTTCCTCCCCATGGGGGCTGGTCAGCGTCAGTCTAAGGCTGTCCTCACTCAGACCTGCTTGGTACTGAGCTAAAGGGGGGGCTACTGGCTCCCCAAAGAGTGGTACCTCCACCCTAATGAATCCTCCAGTGGGAAATCCACAAGGCCTGGGGGCTGGATTGAGGCCTGGGACCTGGAGCTGTGGGGACACAGGGCTGCAGGTGGGGTCAGTGGCTGCCCTGGAGGCCTTGAGTGGGGTGGGGTGGGGGCTTCCGCCTCAGCCCCTGGTTGTGGACGCTGAGGTGACCCTTGACCAGGGGCCATTCTTTGGTCCAGCCCCAGCAGGAGGCGGGGCAGGGGCTGGCCAGGATGCTCAGGCGGGGTCTGCAGGTGAGGCGAGGGCAGTGCAGGCCACGCCAGGGTGAGGCTGGGGGAGCAGCCTGTGCCAGGAGCGGCTGCCCCCTCGGAGCCCGAGTTGGCCTGGGAGGCAGGGACGCTGGGGCGTGAGGTCAGTGCCCTGGGAGGGCCGGTGATGCCTCTCCCGGGGTGCTCAGGCTGGGTCTCAAAGGACGGGGAGCGATTCCTGCCGGCCCCTGTCCAGGCCCTCCAGCCTCCAGCCACGTGTACAGGAAGAAGACAGGGCCACGTCACTGGACCCGCAGTTTTTAAGGAAACTCCTGTTTTCCAAAGCAGCTACACCGTTGCACATTCCACCTCCCGCACAGTCCCGAGCCTTTCGCTGAAGCCTGTCTGAGGGTGTGTGGTGTCCATGGGGTTTCATTTGCATCCTCCGCTGTCCTGCGTCTTCCCTGTGTTCTCTGCGGAGACAGGGACGTTCAGATCTCTTGCCCGCTTGTGGTTGGCACCAGAGCCTTCCTAACGCTCGGCCACTGCTCTTGGCGGGGGCTCCTGTGCCCAGCACAAGCCCCTGCGCTTAACCAAGCATTCGGCCTCCGAGGTGAGCCGGGCCCACCGGCCTGCGCAGGGGGACACTGGACGGGGCACACCAAGGGTCAGAGGGGTGAGAGCCAGGCGCACGGGTAGCTGCAGAGCCGGGGAGCCTGCATCCCCTGAGCCGGCGGCTGGCCGCAGCCCTGGGGCAAGCACCAGGGTCCCCTCAGGCCACTGAAGCCGAAACTGGGACGTGGCCAGCCTCACCTCCCAGTGGTGTCACCTCACACAAGCAGTGTTACCTGGACACCCAGGGCAGGGAAAGGTGGTCCAAGGTGAGCTCTGTCCAAAGCGCTTGCACCCTCTGCTGGGTGCAAGTGAGTGTGCAGGGTTAGGGTTAGGGTTAGGGGTGAGTGTGCCAGGGTTAGGGTTAGGGTTAGGGGTGAATGTGCCAGGGTTAGGGTTAGGGGTTAGGGTTAGGGTTAGGGGTGAGTGTGCCAGGGTTAGGGGTGAGTTTGCCAGGGTTAGGGTTAGGGGTGATTATTCAGGGTTATGGTTAGGGGTGAGTGTGCAGGGTTAGGGTTAGGGGTGAGTATTCAGGGTTAGGGTTAGGGGTGAGTGTGCCAGGGTTAGGGTTAGGGTTACGGGTGAATGTGCCAGGGTTAGGGTTAGGGGTGAGTGTGCAGGGTTAGGTTAAGGGTGAGCGTGTAGGGTTAGGGTTACGGTTAGGGTTGAGTGTGCAGGGTTAGGGTTACCATTAGGGGTGAGTGTGCCATCGTTAGGGTTAGGGTTAGAGTTAGGGGTGAGTGTGCAGGGTTAGGGTTACCGTTAGGTGTGAGTGTGCCATCGTTAGGGTTAGGATTAGAGTTAAGGGTGAGTGTGCAGGGTTAGTGTTAGGGGTGAGCGTGCTGGCTTAGGGTTACGGTTAGTGGTGAGTGTGTAGGGTTAGTGTTAAGGTTAGGGGTGAGTTGAAGGGTTACTGTTTGGGTTCGGGTGAGTGTGCAGGGTTAGGGTTACAGTTAGAGGTGAGTGTGACAGGGTTAGGCTTAGGGTTAGGGGTTATTGTGCCAGGGTTAGGATTAGGGGTTAGTGTGCAGGGTTAGGGTTAGGGGTGAGTTTGTGGTGTGGGGGCTTCCATTGCCTTCTCCCCAACTACTTCCATTATTGGTGATAACTCCCCCCACCCCTGCTCTCCCTCGGGCTATGCTAGGTCTTATGTCACGGGGGCTGATTTGGCTGTCATATCCCTCTGTCCCTGTCACAGGCCTGCATACCACCAGGTCCTCGGCTCCTCTGCCTCTCGCTCACTGGCCCTTTGAGAGGTGTAGGAAATGCCCACATGGAGCCTGGCCTAAGACCTGCCACAAACACCAGCCTGGGTTGCCCAGGGTCCCCTGGGGGGCTGGGGGGCAGGAGAAGATGCCTGGGCAAAGCCACGGTCCTGGGTGGCCACATGAGGGTGGCGCCAGGCAGCTTCTCTGCTGGTTGTTCTGTTTCAGCTGCTGGAGTTGGCAAACATGAGGCTTAGTCTGGAGGGTTTGGCACTAGATGGTTCCCTCTTGCCACAGGATGAGGGCACCTGTACCCCAGTGTGTGCACAATGTTGAAACACCCGGCATAACCGGACCTGTGCCACAGTGCTGGGCCCACTGAGCAAGGCAGCGCAGAGACTGGCACCACAGGCAGAGCTGAGAGATGCTGAGGACATCAGGAGAATGGAAGGTCTGTGAGCTGGGCCCATGTCCTGCCCCACTCACATGTGTACCTGTGCACCTAAGTACCTGTGCACCTGAGCACGTGGGCACCCGTGTATCTGAGCACCTGTGTAACTATGCACCTGAGCACCTGAACACCTGAACACATGGGCACCTGTGCATCTGAGCACCTGAACACCTGAGGACCTGTGTACCTGAGCACCTGAATACATGAGGATGTGGGCACCTGCACACCTGTGTACTTGAGCACTGGGCACCTGAGCAGCAATCGACTTGGCCATCCCCCACCCCACCCATCCTGCCCTCTCTCAGGCCCCTTCTCTGGGGAGCCCAGGAAAGGCTGCTCCTCTCTGTCACTGGTTCCAGTGGCGCCTCAGGTCCCAGCTCCTAACGCCGCTTTGCCCCTCCCGACACACAGTGGTGAGGGCCTGACGGAGCAGAGCATTCTGGGAGCTGAGGGTCAGCTGGGCCTTGCGTGGCCCTGAGGCCTCCCCTCTTTACACAAAACAGGCCGGGCCCCAGGGTCACTGGCCTTGCAGGCACACATAGCCTTCTGCTGCCGTGGGCAGGTGTTTATTTTTCTGGGTGAGGGTCAGGGGTGGGCCCCAGGGCAGGGCTGGAGGGCAGTCAGGGCCCCCCCAGCCCCTCTGCAGGGTGGTGGAGGTGGTCTTGGTCCTCCTCTGGCCCCCGGAGCACCTGTCGAGGTGGCAGCGCCCACAGCCAGGGCCCCTTGCCTCCCTGGTCCTCCTCAGCTGGGGGGTGGTACAGGCCATCATGGTCGGGCTCAGGACCCTGCAGGGGGCTCCGGAGGAGGCCCAGGATGTCCTCAGGTTCCACCCAGGCCTTGGTGCCTAGGGACAGGTGGAAGAAGGTACAGCCTCGGTTTCACTCCTGAGACCCTCCCCTCCAAACCCTCCCAAGGGCCTGTCCGTCCAGATCACCCCCAGGGGCTTTTGCCGGCCTGAGGGACGGCCCCACCCTGACCTGGCAGTTTCTCCTCCGCGGCTGAGAGCTCTGGCTTCGCTGCGGGCCACAGCCCCACCAGCCATCCGTCCTTCTCTGGAGGCTCCACCACCCGGGCACCCCAGGCCCTGCTGGCACAGCAGCGTCAGGCGGACGCACAGGTGGGGCAGGTGGACATCACCGCCCCCCACCCAGGGCACCCACCATCCCGGGCAGAGTGGGCCTGGGGATGGGACGTGCAGGAAGCCACCTCACCCCCACCACCAGCAGCCACAGGCCCCATGGCCCATCCCGCCAGGTGTCCCCCACGTCCCTGAGCCAGGGGGCCAGGGGCTGGGGTGGACCCTCGACTGAGGGTCTCCCAGGTCGAGAGCTGTGAGGCAGCATCCTGGTCCCCCTGAGACCACCCTGGCTGCCACGGGGCAGGAGCCACCCAGACCACAGGCCCCCAGCTTGCTCCCTGCTGCTGGCACCCGGTTCTGCGGTGGTCCCTGTGAGGCCCGAGTCTTCTCCTCCAGAAGCTGCTGGACAGGGCTCCCCTCTCCATCCCAGCGCACCCCGGTTCAGGGAGGGCCTGGGAAGGTGGGCTGCAGCCCCAGGGACAGCAGGAAGGGCTTTGGGGGCTCTTACTTCTCTGTGTCCTGCTCAGGGGCCCCGAGTCTGACTTGAATCTTGACAGGGACCTGGGAGAGAATCACTGCTGTGGGCAAAGGGAACAGGGTCTGCGGGGGCACGGGCAGGGCAGAGCCACCGGGATGTCGGGACCACAGGGCAGGCCGTGAGACTGCCAGCCTGTCTCAAGTGATGAGCCTTCTGGATATCTAGCCAGGCCCACCTCCCCACCTGGGTCACCTGGGCACCTCCAGGCCCACTTCCCCCACCTGGGATCACCTGGGCACCCATTAAACCCACCTCCCTACCTGGGTCACCTGGGGACCCATTAAACCCACTTCCCTACCTGGGTCACCTGGGGACCTCCAGGCCCACCTCCCCCACCTGGGTCACCTGGCTGTACATTAGGCCCCAGCAGAGGGGCCCTTCATCCTGGGGCCCCACCTCAGTGCCCTCAGGGTTAGGTCAGAGTTAGGTTTAGGGTTAGGTTACAGGCGACTGCTGCCCCCTGCTGGCTGGGGCAGAGGATGACAGCTGGGAGTGTGGACTGGGTGGGAGGGCCCCCACACAAACCTGTGCTGCTGGGGCCGCACCTGCTCCCTGCAGCAGCACAGCCACCAGGCTGGTGACCAGGAGGAGCCTAGGGGGACAAGGAAGGGAGTGTGGGGGGGAGAAGGGAGGGGAGTATTGGGGGGCAGGGAGAAGGGTGTGGGGGGCAGAGGGAGGGGAGTTTTAGGGTGGCAGGGAGGGCAATGGGGGGAGGAAGGAGGGGAGTATTGGGGGGCAGGGAGGGGAGTATTGGGGGCAGGGAGGGGCGTGGGAGGACACTTTCCCTGCCCCCCCACCTCCCCTGGCCCCAGGCAGGACCCACAGGCAGCCGGCATGAGGGTGCTGCCCAGCCAGAGGGCCGGGGCGGGTCCCCTGATGGGGCCATAGTAGTGTTATCAGCCCCCACGGGCAGGTGAGAAGGCCGAGGCCTCTACTTCTGGACCCTCAGCACAGGGACCCCCACGACGCTGCCCCTGCTCTGGGCAGACCCCCTGGGGCAGGCGCTGGCGGTGGGTGCTGGGGACTCCAGAGGCTCTGCCATGCCCTTGTGCCAACCTCTGCACAGGGTCAGATGTGAGCACACATGTGCACACGGGAGTCGGTGCAGAGCCCTGCACCCACCCGGCCCCTCCGGGCAGGACGGGCACCACACTCTGCCCTGAGCCATGGGGGCGGCTGTGGGGAGTTCATGGGTGACAGAGGCACCACCCACAGGCCAAGGGAGGGCAGGACCGTCTGCACACATGGTGGGTGTGTGTTTATATTTGTGTGGGCGGCGTGCTATGTGGTTGTGTGTGTGGTGTATGTGTGCCACGTGCACGTGTGTGCTGTGTGGCGTGTGGTTGTGGATGTCATGTGGGTGTCGTGTGATGTGCTGTGTGTGCCATGCAGTTGTGGTGCCATGTGCGTGTGCGTGTGCATGTGTGAGGTGCACTGTGCACCTGGCTGCCCTGGGCCCTGCTGGGAGGTTTCTGTCTCTGCAGGGGGCAGGTGGTCTGGGGTGGGGCCGGGCGGGGTCAGTAGGGCTGGGGTCAGTAGGGCTGGGGTCAGGGCTGTGTCCCGGCGCCCTGCAGGCCACGCTGTAGCCCCACGGAGACCTTTGCTCCCTGTCGGGGTGACTCACCTTAGGGGGAGGTTCCCATGCACCCGGGGAGGTCGGAGGGCGGCTGTGATGCTGGGTGGGGCTGACGCAAAGACCCCCGTCCGGGCATCAGGACTCCACCCCCCGCCCATGGAGACGCACAGCCGGCCCTGGACCTGGAGCCTGGGGACGGCTGGTGGGTGCTGAGGGGCCCGGCTGTAGGACCCCCCATCCCTCTCCTGACGGGCAGCTCTGGACGCTACAGGGTCCCCAAGGCCCCGAGCACCGGACCCACCTCTCCACAATCTGCTCCAGGTCGGGGTCCCAAGGAGGGGGCCGTGGCCTAGAGGAGGGGGAGGGAGGAGGGGACCCCACAGGACCGGGGAGGGAGGAGGGAACCCTTTGGAGGAGGAGGAGAGAGGTGGGGACCCCACAGGACCGGGGAGGGAGGAGGGAACCCTTTGGAGGAGGAGGAGGAGAGAGGGAGACCCCACGGGAGGATGGCAGCCTCTGATGGCTTCCCCAGGTGACGCCCGCTCAGGGCACCCGGCCCTGCCCCTCCCATGTTCCTGCCCCCGGGAACTGGGCATCGCAGACCAGCCTGTGCTGGGGCTAGCACATCCTCGCCTTTCCCCGGGGTCCCTGGGGGATTCTCCGCTGGGTGGGGGACACAAGGGGACAAGGCACTCACACACGCACACACGCATGCACACACACACGCATGTGGGGCCACAGAGGGTGCCTTTGGAGGCGGAGCCGGGACAGACCCTCCCCCTCCCAGACACCCCCTGAGCCAGGCCTGTGGGGACCCGGCCGGTCTCGGAGCAGGGCTCCTGCCAGTGGGCCCAGTCCGGGGTCGGGCTCGGGGCGTGGGCATCACCTGCTCATGTCTGCGGCTGCTCTGGGGGGCCGTGGTGCCGATCCGTATCCAGGCGCCGGCTCCGTCCTCCCCACAGGGCTGCCCAGGCTTTATTGCCCACGAGGGCGTGTCTGGGCAGAGGTCGGCGGGATCCCACACTGCACTGCTGGGGCCGCCACGGCGCCCCGCGCTCCAGCCTGGGGCCGCCACACCCAACGGAGGAAGGAAAGAGACCTCTTGTCTGGGGAACGCTGGCCCCTTAACTGATCTGGCCGGGCGGGCACGGGGCGAGACAGCCGAGCTGAGCGCTTGCCTGGGGAAGCCACCTGACGCGTGGGCTCGGGACCGGCTGCTGCCACGTGGCAGAGGATCGCCCCGACGCCACCCCAGGCTGACACCGTAGCTCGTGCCCTGTGGTGCGACATGCACAGCCGGTATCTGCTCCGTGTCACCGCTGTGAGCCGGCGAGCGTCCCCGACACACTGCGTAGCGGCCACTCCTTATCCCCTTTGGCCTTTGAAAACCTGCTTGCGACAAAGGCCGACGGGAACTTGGAAGCGTGTGCGGGCAGCTGTCCTCCCTTGGGCTCGAGCAAACTCTCTAAAATTCTATTTTTCACCTCAGCTTCTTCCTTAGGTGGACACGACAAACCTCTCAGTTACCACTGCCTCCGACCCCCGCCACACCTGCCACACCTGTGGCCCGTCCACTGCCCAGCACCAGACCTGGCTCACCCCACGCGGGATCCTCAGCTCGCTGCCCACCTGCTTCACCACGCACCCCCACCGCCTGGCCCCCACCGCCCGGCCACACCTGCACGCTGCGGGCCTCGCCCACGGCTGGCCCGCCCCGCCAGAGAGCGGCTGGCTGGGAACTGCTGGCAGCCTGGGGACCCTCCTGCAGCGCCCTGTGGTCCCACGGCCCTCCCTGCCCTCCTGCTGCCGGGGGTCGTGGAGCAGGCCAACCGCCAGGTCTCGGGGCCCCTCCTGGACCCCAGTGTCCACGAAGACACATGGGAAGGGTGGGCTCCATGGCAGAAGGAGGCTCACCAGAACCACCATTCCAGTGCTCTCGACCTTGACCCGGGGCAAATGCGCATTGAGGGGCGGTTACTTGAACAAGCTACTCAGCCAGGCAAGAGCACAGCTCCTGTGGCCTTCTGGCCGGGCTGTCCCCACGCCGCCCAGAGCAGTGGGCACAGTGGCTCCACCGGGGAGGCAGCGGGAAGGCTGGTGGCCCAGGGACCTGGGGCTCCCGGGTTGGGCTGTGCAGTGACTGGCAGACCAGCCAGACTGCAGCAGGGACACCAGAGGTGGGGAAGCCACCACCCGTCTGTCACCCTCCCGGAGGGGCAGGAGAAAACCGCCTGACATGAGTGTGCTCCCCGCCACGCACAAGCCCCCAGAGGTGTGAGCGCACGGCCTTAACCAATGCAGACGCAAGGTGACCCGCAGGAAGACAGCCTCAAATGATGCCACCCCCACGAGGGAAGCGAAGCCCACGATGTAGCTCAGGGAAACTGCTAGGCAGACAGACAAAAACAGCGGCAACCACCTTTGGGCGGGGGGAATAGAATTCAAAGTGGCTCTAATATGTCATCCAAAACACCACATTTTTAAAAATTAATAGACCTTTATAATCACCCTCTTAGTGCAGCACAGCAGTCTCATGAAAATTAATATGCTTTTATGGACTGTACTACAGACTCGAGCAATTTCAGGTTTCGAGGAAAGCTGAGCGGAAAGCGGAAAGGAGCTCCCTTTGCCCTTCCCTGTCATTGTCCTCCTGCATTAAAGTGGCACGTTTTCTGCAGCTGATGAGCCAGTTAAAACGCCTGCTCTCAGCCAAGAATAAGAAGACAGGCAAAGAAACAGGAAAAGTGTGATCGATGTTCAGAGGAAAAAAGCAGGTAATAGAAACTGGGTGGACCCACATGTTGGACTTAGCAGGAAAACAAATGAATAGAAATGATGTCTAAAGAATTAAAGGAAAGTATGATGATAATGACTTAAATAATCTCAGCAAACAACTCATTAAAGGAATCAAATGGGAATTCTGGAATTGCAAATACAATAACCTTCCAGGTTTTTGCTATCTGAACAATACTATAGAAAAAGAAAAAAGATAAAAATAATTTAAAAAAAGAAGAAGAAAAGAAAATACAATAACTGAAATTAAAAGGTCACCAGAGGGCTTAATAGAAGACATATTTAAGTGTATAATGTCTTTAACTTCGATTTATACTTACAGATAGATCAATAGAACTATCCAATATGAAGAAAAGAGAGGGAAAAAATGAAAAATGAGCAGCACCTCAGAGACCTGTGAGACCATACCAAGTGATGAGTGCACACACACGCAGACACACATGTGGAGTCATGCAAATGCATATGTACACACAGACACACATGTCATATTCATGCACATACAGGCACACATGTGGAGTCATATATGCACACAGACACATATGTGGAGTCAGGTATGTGCACACAGACACGTGGAATTATACACATGTACACACAGATACGCACGTGGAGTCATACAAATGCATATGTACACAAATACACACACCAAGTCATAGATGTGCATGCATAGACAGACACGTGTGGAGTCATACATATGCACATATGCACTCAGAGACACACATGGGGTCATACATATATGCAATCTCAGCAAGAGAAAAAAGAAAAGAGCGGGAAAAAACTTGAAGAAATAAGCAAAAATTTTTTGAATTTGATGAAAAGCATTACTCTACAGACCCTCACACAGGATGAGTGCAAAGACGTATCGCAGCCAAACTGCTGACCCCAAGGACAAAGAAAATCTTGAAAAGAGCAAGACAGAAACTGCTACTCAGGTACTGAGCACCAACCCCGGGTAGGCAGGGACAGGGAGACCCGCAGGCACTGTGTGACGGGCAGTGGCACCACAGAGGAGAACGAACACTCTTTCCATGAAGCCAGCATCACCCTGACACCTAAAGCTAGACAAAGACACTGTGTGAGAAAAGAAAATGATAGATCGATATTCTTCCTGAACATAGACACAAAAATCCTTAGGAAAATATTGGCTAAATTCAGCAACACATAAAGAGGAATTTATCCCAGGAATGCAAAGTTGGTGTAACATTCAAAAACCAATATATGTACTACATTATATCATGTTAACAGAAAAGAGCCCAACTCTATAAAATAATTTAAAGAGGCTTATTCTGAGCTGAATATGTGCGATCATGGCCCAGAGAGCCACGCCCAAGAAGCCTTGAGCAAGTGGTCTTGCTGTGGGTGGGTTACAGTTTAGTTTTATACATTTCAGCAAGACAGGAATTACAGGTAAAGTCATAAATCGTTACATGGAAGGTGTAAGTTGGTTTGGCCTGAAAAGGCGGGATGTCTTGAATAGGGGCTTACAGGTTACAGGTAGGTTTAAAGTTTCTTCGATTTGTGATTGGTTAAAGAAAGGAAGCTTTGGCTGGGCACGGTGGCTCACACCTATAACCTAGCTCTCTGGGAGCCGAGGCGGGCGGATTGCTCGAGGTCAGGAGTTCGAACCAGCCTGAGCAAGACGAGACCCCGTCTCTACTATAAATAGAAACAAATTAATTGCCAACTCATATATATAGAAATAATTAGCCAGGCATAGTGGCACATGCCTGTAGTCCAGCTACTCGGGAGGCTGAGGCAGAAGGATTGCTTGAGCCCAGGAGATTGAGGTTGCTGTGAGCTAGCTGACGCCACGGCACTCACCCTAGCCTAGGCAACAAAGCGAGACTCGTCTCAAAAAAAAAAAGGAAGCTTGTCTAAGGCTTGCAATGTTTTAAGTCAAGATAAGGAAGTCTGCTGATCAGAGACAAGCCACTGGACACACACCCAGACTCACATGATGTGTTAAGAGAATGGATGACCTGCAGGTACGGATTAAGCTCTGTCTTGCACGGCCTTAGCTTGGTAACGAGTCAAAAAGGACATCTCCAAGAAGGGAGGGGCATGATGAGGCGAGTCTGACCTCCTTCATGGCAGCAACTCAGCTTCAGGATTCTGGTCCCTTGGCAAGAGGGGCGTCCATTAAGTCTCAGCTGGGGCATAAGATTTCATTTTCAGTTCACAATTTTTTTTTTTTTTTTTTTTTTGAGACAGAGTCTCGCTTTCTGTGTCCTAGCTAGAGGTGAGTGCGTGGCGTCAGCCTAGCTCAACAGCAACCTCAACTCTGGGCTTCGAGTGATCCTTCTGCCTCAGCCTCCAGTAGCTGACTATCAGGGCATGCCCACTATGCCTGGCTAATATTATTATAGTATTTATCTGTTGGCCAATTAATCTTTCTATTTATAGTGAACGGTCTCGCTCTCTGCCCGGCTGGTTTACTCCTGACTCTGAGCAATCCGCCCGCCTCGGCTCAAGAGCTAGGACTTACAGCGTGACCCAGCGCCGGCCCTAGTCAAATGAAGAATTGAAGACAAAGAACTCATGATCACTTTTTTTTTTTTTTTTTTTTTTGAACAGTCTCCACTCCTGTTGCCCAGGCTAGTGAGTTGCTGTGGCGTCAGCCTCAACTCACACAACCTCAAACTCTGGGCCTCAAGCGATCCTCCTGCCTCACCTCCCGAGTAGCTGGACTACAGGCATGGCCACCATGCCCGGCTAATTTTTATCATAATATCAGAGTTGCCAATTAATTTCTCTATTTATAGTGAAGACGAGGTCTGCTTTGGCTCAGGCTGTCTTTGCAACTCCTTGACCTGAGCATCTGCCCCCTGCGGCCTCCAGAGAGCTAGATTCAGGCGTGAGCCACCGCGCCGCGGGCACCTGATCACTATTAATAGACACCAGAAACAGGCTCTGACAAATCCAACACCCATTTATGATTTTAAAAAATATTCTAACAAACTAGGACTAAAAGGAAGCTTTCTAACCCTGATAAAAGGCATTACACAACTACCATGAAACACCGTTTTATGCCGCAAGACGACAGCCCTCTCCTTATGAATGGGAAGAAGACAAGGATGTCCCATTTGACTAACTTCATCCAATTGTAACTGGATCTGCTGGTACAACAAGCAATAACAGAACAATGAGCGCTGGGTGTGTGGCTCACGCCTGTAATCTAAGCACTCACTGGAGGCAGAGGCCGGAGGATGGCTCTGAGATCAGGAGTTCGAACCAGCTACAAGACTCGAGACCTCCGTCTCAACTAAAAATATAGAAAAGAAATTATCCGGCATATTTTAAATATATTATTATTTAGACAAAATTAACCACAAGTGGCACACGCCTTGTAAGTCCAGCTACGTCGGAGGCTGAGGCAGGAGGCATGGGTTGAGCCCAGGAGTTGGCAGGTTGCTTGAGTAGCTGACGCCACGGCACTCTAGCCGGACAAACAGGAGTACCAAACTCTGTCTCAAAAACAATAAACAAAACAAAAAAAAAGGAGAGAATGTTGATAGAAAAAAAAACTGTCTTTATTTGTGCATGACAAGATCCCATATTTGGAAATGTAAAAGTGCAAAACAACTAAAAAGAGTAGAGAAAGACATCGGAATGCAAGGCAACACACAAAAAATCAGTTGGTTATCTCTAAGCTAACAATCTGAAATAAATTAGGAACAATTAACCATAATAAGCGTCTGTCTCCGTCTGTTCTGCTGCTGTTAACAGAATACCTGAGACTGGGTAACTACCAAAAAGTTATTTGGCTCCCAGTTTGGACCTGGAATCAGGTCGGGTGGCAGCCCTGCAGGCTTCGAGTGCATCTCACACGGCTAACGGC